TTTCTGTGAGAGATCACTCAGTATTATAGACTCTAGTTCCATCCAGGTTGCTGCGAAATTCATGATTTTGTTCTTTTTTATGGCTGCATAGTATTCCATCGTGTATATGTACTACATTTTTTAAATCCAGTCCTCTTTTGATGGACAGCATGGTTGGTTCCAGGTTCTTGCTATTGTGAACAATGCTGCGATAAACATTCGTGTGCAGGTATCTTTTTGATAGAGTGATTTGAGTTCTTCAGGGTATATTCCCAGTAGGGGGATTGCAGAGTCATATGGGAGGTCGATATTTAGAGCTTTTAGGAATCGCCATACTGCTTTCCACAGAGGTTGCACTAGTTTCCACTCCCACCAACATGGACAAACTCTTAAAGCAAAAACTTACTTACTTCTAGAAAATTTTGACCTCATATTTTCTTAGGGAAAAGAAGCCTTAATCAGAAAGCACTGTAATCTTTCTCTTCCCTTTTTCCTGAGGAAAAAGATTCCTAAATTGACTTTTTTTTTTTTTGGAGTCAGAGTCCCACTCTGACACTGCACACCATCACCCAGGCTGGCGTGCAGTGGCAAGCTCATGGCCACCCCAGCGTCAACCCGGTGGGCTCCGGCGATCCTTCCACCTTAGCCTTCCAAGTAGCCTGAACTACAGACATGCACTACCATGCCTGGCTATTTTTTTTTAAATGTATTGTGGAGACGACGTGTCGCCAAGTTGCCTGGGCTGGTCTTGAACCCGCGGACTCAGGCAATCCACTCACCTCAGCCTCCCAAAGTGCTGGAATTGCAGACTGAGTCACCGAACCCGGCCTTGACCTTTTTTAAATTGCAGTAACTTTCAATTCTAGAACCTCTCGGGTTTACTTAATGGCTTGTTCAGTCCATTAGCTACAAGACTTTTTGTCACTACTTCTTGCTGCAACCTCATTGTCTCTATAAAATCAACATTCATAAATGGGGCCAGGGTTTCTGCTGCCTCTAGCCTTCAATATTTTAGGAGATGGGAACATGGATAAGGATGAGGTAACAAGCTGAATGTGTTGTTTATGACTATCTAGCCACAGATTCATCACTTTTATCTAAGATGGGAGGTAAATCAACTATGTGTATGTAATGGAGAATAAATAGGATGAAATGAGAAATTTTAAATGCAGCTTGAATATGTAAAGATAATAATTAATTACAAACACTTTACGTGAATCACTTAACTTTTCTTACATGATTACTATATAAATAGCTGTTATCATGCATATTGTTAAACTTTTTATATGCCTCAGCAGATGTTCATGTGATTTAAATTTTTATTTGTTTTTATTACCACAGTTATAATTCTACAGTAAAACTTAGAAAATATAGAAAAAAATGCTCAAAATTCCACCATCAAATAGAATCAGAGAGCACTTTGATATATTTTTGTTCTAGTCTGTTTTCATACATGGATACAATTATACTTATATCTGCTTTTTAAAAATATATATCCCAAGCATTTTTGGAGTGCCTTTAGAGTAATAAGACTAATTCTATAAACCTTTCATGAAAAGTAGATGTTACGATATTGGTACATTATAGTTAGATATATTTTAATCTTAACAACTGTTGCTTATATAGTATATACTGTCTTCCCCTTTATAAAAATTAGGACTTTTTTTCTTTAGTCAGAGTCTCACTGTCATCCAGCTAGAGTGCAGTGGTACTCACTGTCACTGTTCACCACAGCCTTGACCTTCTGAGCTCAGGTGGTCCTTCTGCTTCACCTTCCCAAGTAGCTGGGACCACAGGCACATGCCATCACTCCTGGCTAAGTTTGTAGCGATGAAGTGTCACTATGTTGTCTAGGCTGGTCTTGAACTCCTGGGCTCAAGTAGTCCTCTTAACTCAGCCTCCCAAAGTGCTCACAGGCCTGAGCCATCGCGCCTGGCCAGGGTGTTTTTTTTTTAGTTGGAGTCTCACTCTGTCGCTCAGGCTGGAGTGCGGCAGCATGCTCATGGCCACCCCAGTGTTTTGTTTTTTTTTTTCAGTTGGAATCTCACTCTGTGACCCAGGCTGCAGTGCAGTGGCATGCTCATGGCCACCACAGCGTCAACCTGCTGGGCTCAGGTGATCCTTCCACCTCTGCCTTCCAAGTAGCTGGAACCACAGGTGTGCACTACCAGGCTGGCTCATTTTTGATTTATTGTAGAGATGAGGTCTCACCAAATTGCCCAAGCTGTTCTTGAACGTGTGGGCTCAGGCAATCCCCTCACCTCGGCCTCCCAAAGTACTGGGATTACAGGCTTAAGCCACTGCGCCTGGCC